CACAAAACCCTGCACACGGATGTTTTTTACAGCTTTATCCACTATTGCCAGAGCTTGGAAGTAACCTTGAAGAACCTGAAGATGTCCTTCGGTAGGTGAATGGATAAATAAACTATGGTACATCCAAATAATGGGATATTATTCAGTGCTAAAAATAAATGAGCTACCAAGCCATGCAAAGACACATGAGTCATGAAAAAACATTCAGGAAACTTAAATTTACATTACTAATGAAAGATTTAGTAGATTCAGTACATTCATTGGTAGATTTCAGATTACTAATGAAATTACTAGTGAAAGAAGCCAGTCTGAAAAGACCACATACTGTATGCATCCAGATAGATGACATTCTGGAAACTATATAGAGACAGTAAAGAGATCAGTGGTTACCAGGGGTTGGGAGGTTTGGAGAGATAAAGGGCAGAGCACAGAGGATTTTTAGGACAATGCAACTACTCTGCATGATAACATAATGACTGTACATGTCAGTATACATTTGTCCAAACCCATACAATGTACAACATGCAAAGTGAAACTGTGGACTTTGGGTATCATTGTAGGATCATCAATTGTTTTAAATATTTAATTTAGTGGAGTGTGTTGATAATAAGGCCATGCATGTGTGGAGGTAGGGGATATACAAGAAATCTCTCCATCTTCTGCTCAGCTTTGCTGTGAACCAAAAACTGCTCTAAAGAACAAAGTCTATTTATGATACATATAACATGTATTTATTATATGCAATATATGTACTTTTAAATAAATGAAGTACTAGTACATCCTGCAACATGGATGCACCTCGAAAACATTATACTAAGGAAAAGGAGCCAGTCACAAAGGACCACATGCTGTTTGATTCTCTTTCTAGCAAAGGTCTAGAATAAGCAACTTTATAGGGACAGAGACCAAATCAGTAGTTAGCTAGAGTTGGAGGATGGCTTGAGGAGAAATGGGGACTGACTGCTAATGAGTATGGGGCTTCTTTTCCAGATGATGAAATGTTCTACAGTGATGTGTGGCTGGTTGCAGATCTCTGCCAATGCGCTAAACCCCACACTTTATATGGGTGAATTGTCTGATATGTGAATTACACCTCAATAAAGCAATATTTTTAAAAGGGAGGGGGATAGAAGGAGCAAGCCTGAAATGGTCTACTGCCCACCCCCCATGGCATGCAGGGGATGTGTGTCGGGCTGGGGTGTGTGTCCGGGATGTGGGGATGCCCGGCTGTGGGAGTGTGAAGAAAGCGAGGGCATGCGGGACACAGCAACCAGGGTTTGGGGCTCTGCCCCAGGGAGTGCGGAGGTGCAGGGACTCTGGATGGGGGGACCCGGCTAGAGTGAGGCAGGCTCAGCAGTAGGTGCAGGGATGAGGGGAGGTGTGAGGACCGGGGTTGTGGGGAGCGCAGGGGTGTGGGGATGCGGGGAAGGAGGCATTCTCCGTCTCCTGGAAGCGCGGAGAGGTGGGACAGGGACTCACCCGGGCTCGCGGCCACCAGGGGCGGTAGGCAAGCCTGGCGGGCGGCGGGCCCCGGGGCATCCAGCAGCCCTGGGGAACCAGCCGCCTCCCCGGGACTCTACCACCTCTGTCGTGGGTGCCCGAACCGCCCCCAGCTCCCCATTTTGCAGCTGCCTCGGTCTCCAGGCCAAACTCCTTGGTCTTTGTTCTCGCCTGGCAAAAACAGAGCTTAATTATGGCCAAACAGACCAGCAGGAACGGGGCGGGGGGCAGGGGGGTGGCGCATCCCTCAACCCCATCGTCCTTTCTGGGGACGCCCGTTCCGAGTTTTTTCTGGGCATAGTACTTTTGCGGTTCATTAGGGAAAGGGACCCCCGAGACGCTGCGGAGAGACGTTCCAAATACACAGAGACGTCTTTGGAGGCACTAACAAAAATGGCATATAGAGGACAGTCCAAATTTTGTAAAAACAACAAAAAAAATCAGTTCTTTTTTTACATATATAGCGTTCCTTCCCTGATCAATAAATATGCATAGACTCGTCAGGCCTTGACCTAGGTACTGCAGAGCTGGCCGGAACCGAGGGGCAAAGACCCCAAGCGTGGAGCGAAAGTCCCCGTAGGCGTGGACGGGGCGGGGGCTGAACAGGCTCCTACCCCCCTCGCCGGGGGGAGGTGGCGCGCGGCCGTCCGACAGCCAGCACGCGGGGCCAGCTCAAGGCCAACTCTGGGCCAGAGACAAGTGAACAGGCTGCTGCGCATGCACCCTGGACCGTGGGGCGCCCTTCCCCGGGGGGGGGAGGGGGGCAGTACAGGCTGGATGTCCGCAGGTCACAGGGGAGGGGGACAACAGCGAGATAAGCCATTTGCGAAATGGCCCAGAAAGTCATGGTCAGATCTCTGGACTTCATCTTAAATGCGCTCGGAAGCCACAGGGTCGAGACTGGTGTGTGGGGGGAGGGGGTCTTGAGCCAATTATTTTTTAAATATTGTGACACATCCATGTGTGAGTGTGCATTAAATAAACACCAGGAATGAAACATTATCTCTTGAGAATGTGCTTTAGCAAACCATCTCAAAGACTTCGATGAAATCATCTGGAACATGATTAGTTTTGCATTGTGCACCTTCATTTTATTTATTTATTTTTTTAAGATTTTATTTATTTGACAGAGACAAAGACAGAGACAGTGAGAGCAGGAACACAAGCAGGGGGAGTGGGAGATGGAGAAGCAGGCTTCCCGCTGAGCGGGGAGCCCAATGTGGGACTCGATCCCAGGACCCTGGGATCATGACCAGAGCCAAAGGCAGCCGCTTAACGACTGAGCCACCCAGGCGCCTGCACCTTCGTTTTAAAGGATCATTTGTTAACATTTTCATTGAGCTACACAGCCACGTTAACCAGAGTGTATTGTTTTCAGTCATTGGTCCCCTCTGTTTATTCTAAACCGCTCTTTGTTTTACTGAAGTTCTTCATTTGGATTTTTTTAAAGATTTTATTTATTTATTTATTTGAGATAGAGTGAGTGAGAGTGAGCGAGGGAGAGAGCATGGGGGGGCAGAGGGAGATTTTTTTTCTTTTTTTCTGTTTGCTGGAGTGCTCCCCTGAGTAACTTTGTGCTCAAAGAGAAGCATCATTTCTGAGTTTTTGCAGGTCTGAAGAAAACGTCTTTCTGTTGCCTTTTTTGGGGATCTGCAATTTGGCCAGGTAGAGAATTCTTAGGTCAGAAACTTTCCTCTGGGAGAAGTTACAGACCTTCTCAACTTCTGTCATCTTCATGGGTCATAAAAACTTTAGGTCAAAAAAAATCATACGCCACCTGAATGTGCATCCACAGGAGGCTGGTTAAAGTAACCAGAAGATGGCCACCCAGTGGGATACTACTGGTAAAAAAGAACAGGGAAGTTGCTTCTTTATGATATGGAAAGATCTCTAAAATACACTAAGTAAAAAATTTAAAACTAGGTGCATAAGGGGTCTAAGGTATGCTTCCATTTATGTAAAAAAAGGCGGGATAGATACATGTATGTGCTGGGAAATGCATAATTTATCTCTATAAGGATACAGAAGAAACTAGAAACATTTCTTGCCTCTGTAGAGAAGAAATGGAGCAGTGGGGACAAGGTTGCTATGCTAGGGAGACCTATTAAAAAAAAAGCAGAACATTTTAAATCTATTGAATTTGAATCTTGGGGATGTTCTATTGAAAATTTCTGTGCTCTCCTTTAATTTTACTTTAAAAAAAAATCAGGGGCTCCTGGGTGGCTCAGATGGTTAAGCATACCCCCGGGTCAGTGAAGGAGCCCTCCGTACCCATGAAAGAGTTTGCTGAGCCTTTGGCTCAGGTCATGATCCCAGAGTTCTGGGATTGAGCCCCATGTTGGGCTCCTGGCTCAGCGGGGAACCTGCTTCTCCCTCTCCCTCTGCTTCTCCCCCTGCTCATGCTCTCTCTCTCTGTATCTCTGTGTCTCAAATGAATAAATAAAATCTTTTAAAAAATTTTTACTTAAAAAAAATCAGAATAAATATCATGACTAAAAGCGCTGACACACACTTTGCTGGAAGAGATCACAGAGCCAATCAGCAATCCCCGTTGTGGGCTCTGCTCCCAGGTGTTCTGAGGGCTGGCCAGGAAGTCAAGCATCTCAGGCTAATCGCAGGCTTTTCCATCTGTGGTCTTTGCTCCTTCCCTTGCAACTCAGGCATTCACTAAAGATGGGCTATATTTGCCTGCAATCTTGCATTGAACTGGACTGGCTCTTTCCAAGGGAGCACCACCGTCTTCCTCAGCCCAGGGAGACTGTCACTGTTTGCTTCTCTTTCTTTCCTCCCCCTGCTCCCTCTTCCTCTCCAACACCTCCTCTGTGTAGATCGGCTCTTCTGGATCTCTCCGGCACACATTACCTTTTCTCTCAAGGTCATCGATCCTTTACATTTGTTCTTTGGGTCTCAGAGTATCCCATGAGCTTTGTTTTCTAATTTTCTGTTTCAGTTCTCTGGTCTGATTTTAAAGCCTCCGTGGAGGATTTTGGTTAGGAAATCCTTCTTCATCCCCAGGAACTCTCTCCGTTCACAGATTATTTCCTACTCCCAGCCACCAGCCTTTGTTTTAATACAATGTCTCTCAAGTATCACAGAGAAGACAAAGTAGTGTTGATAGGGGTTTTGGGGGGGGGGTTGTTTTGTATTTTTTTGTTTTTCTTTTCATTCTTCTAGGTTTTCTGTTGTTTCTGGAGCAAACTGTTTCATGGGTATGGAGGGCTCCTTCACCGACCCTGGGGTATGCACTTGGGGATGTCACCTGGGGACGTTTGGGAGGCTCGGCCAGAAGTCAGTCTGGGTGGGGTCAGGATCCCCCACTTTGAAACACTGTCCTCCCCCAGGACAGCCTTGTTTTCCCAAGACAGCAGCCCAGTGGCTTCACTCGGGGGGCCCTGGCAAAACCAAGTGGCTCCCCACGGCTCTCCTTAGCCCGCTCACTGCGACCTCCCCGCGTACCGGGTTCAAGTCTGCGTTCCTCACCCCCACCCCCGTAGTCTGACCTTGGAGAGGGTTTCCTGGTCGCCCCAGAACTTCTTCTCAGGCTTCGGGTGCTCCTGGGGTGGTGGTGAGTCCTTGCTGACCTCCAGGGGGTCAAAGGGAGCCAGCAGTGGGTCCTGGTGTGCCTCCAACGTCGACAGCCTGAAGCGGCCATAGGCCCTGATCAGAGCCACGTCGGGCAGTTTATGGAACAGTTGCTCAAGGTCGCTGGAGAGGATGGAGGGCAGCTGCACGCTACGCAGCTGGGACACTGTCTTCCCGTCCTCGTCCAGGCATTCTGGGGAGCAGGGGGCGCACGGCGGCTGGGAGGCCATCTCGGAGCCTGGCCTGCTGGTGGCCGGCACCCAGCACGCAGGCCGGGCCGCGAACGGTGGCGGGCACCCAGCACCCGGGCGCAGCCGCGAACGGTGGCCCCGCGCGCCTGCGCCCTGCGGCCGCTTCCGGGGGCTCACGTGCCCTCCGCGGGCGCTGCGATCTCCCTGTCTCCGCTCCACGCGGGGCGCGCTTACTCCCAGAAAAACTGGGCTTGAGCCCTGGGCACAAAAGGACTGAGGCCAAGCGGGCGAAACCAGCAGCCCCATCCCCGCGGCCTCCTTGTGGGTCATCCTGGCTCCCTCTCCCAGGACGATTTCTGTGTGCCCTCTACCTGTGCGGGGGCTCCTGGCCAACCGACTCGTGTCAACAACAGAGAAATGGTCACTGAGTTACAGAATGGGCCCTGGATGAATTCAGATGCAGCTGTCGGGAGTGGGGACACACAATATATAAGAGCATGAAGGAAATACCTGTCACAATGTCAATGACAGAGAACGAATGTCACCTCTAGTCGGGAAGCAGCCCCACCGATAGAAAAAGACTGGGTGGGGGGACGCCTGGGTGGCTCAGTCGGTTAAGCGTCTGCCTTCGGCTCCGGTTATGATCCCAGGGTCCTAGGATGAGTCCCCAGTCGGGCTCCCTGCTCAGCAGGGAGCCTGCTTCTCCCTCTCCCTCTGTAGCTCTCCCTGCCTGTGCTCTCTCTTGCTCGCTCTAATAAATAAAATCTTAAAAAAAAAAAAAAAAAAAAAAGACGGGTGGATATTCCCAAATACTAAGGGTTATCATCTCTGGATGGTAGAAGTAGAAGTGGTTTTCTTCCTTATTTCTACTTTGGAAATCCTTCTGATCTTTCTATGCTGTCACTCTGAACCCCTGCAACTTTTCTCAAAGGTCTCATCAGTGATGATGAGGCAGCTCCTGAGCGGGGAACCAGGGCTGCAGAGCAAGGACCTGGAGCCTGTGTGACCTGGGCTGTGGGGGCACACTCTCCGGCGCTTGGTCTCAGAAACTGTCTGGGACACTTTGGTGACATCCACCCTAAAAGGCTGAGGCCACCTGCTAGGATCCTGGGACTGGACCGCCCATTGGGCTCCTGGCCACCGCCATGCACCAGGAGAGGCAGGAGCCCAGTGCCTGAGGAATGGGGAAACAACCACTTCCTTCACTCTTACAAGCCCTTAATTAAGTCCAATTGTCCTTATCTGGCCTCGGCTTTCTTCATGAGCAAAATCAGAGAAAACATTTCACTTTTCATTTCTTTTTAAAAGTTTCAGGAAATAAAAAATCAAGAAGAAAATAGAAAAATTCCATTTTAATTAAACTGTACAGTCTGAATTGTTTCCTCTGACACTAACCGAAGTTAAAAAGAGAAATCAATTTCTACAACCTTCCAAGGCAGCCTTTGAAATGTCAAGGTTTTAAAAATTATTTTACAGCATGAATTTACATATAAATACAATCTGTACAAGGTATTAAGCGAGCAGTCGATGAGCTTCCATCATGGAGGAGACCTGGGACTGGGAAAGGCCAGGGTAGAATTCAATTACTGCCTCCTTAGTGGAAGACTTTTCAGCCTGGAAAAGGAAATAAAGGAGAAAGAAGGACAATTAGGTAAGAACTGGAAAGCCAGACAGCTCCGTGGGAGCCGAGTATGCCAGACCTCCCCAAGTCCCAGGGGCACACGTGTACCCACAGAGCACAGAGGATGACTGCAAACTATGACAGCATCACTTAATCTGCCTTCTTAATATGCTTCTCTGTGGCCCCCACCGGGAGACTCACACTCCACACCTCGTATTAGAACCTGTTTATAAAAGCAAGCTCTAATCCTGGTTTCACCTATCTCGTGTAGGAGCACTGGGAAGGAACTGAAAACAAAACAAAACAAACCAAACATGTTTGTTCCACGGCCAAAAGCTCCTAAGCTGACAGTCTTAAATCTCGGCTTCAAGGGCACAAAGGCATTCATCGAGTAGAGCTGGGCCACACTGCCTCTAGATCCTTGCTCAACAGCCCCAAAGTGGAAAACCAGATGTCCCCAACAACAGAAGACATGAATACTCTGTGGTCCCATAAAGGGTTACTCCACAGCAATGAGGGCAAGCCAGCTGCTGCTGCCAGAATCATGTGGCCGATGCGAGAGTCCTTCTCCATGGTTCCTTTAGGTAAAGTCCAAGCGCTAATCAATGGTGACAGAGGCCAGCAGAGGGGTTACCTGTGGGAATGGGGGTAGCCAGGCTAAGTGGGAGGAGACACGAGTGGCTGTGGGGTGCTGGAGTATCCCTTGATCGGGCAGCAAGAATGCACGGAGCTAGAAGCTTATGGTCTGTGTGCATATACATACGTGTGTGCACTACAGCGTTTACTAAACCATATGATTCTATGTCTATGAAATTCTAGAATGGGCAAGACAAACTGATAGAGACAGGAGGTAGACCGGTGTCTCGGGAGAAGGGGGTGGAGGCAGCTGACTGCGATTGCACCAGAACCAAACTGCATGGTCCCAGAAGAAAAGTACCAGGGCCCTCACCAAGAGAGACATTCCAAGCCAGGTGCTGGGAATGCAAACGAGCCCCTGTGGTCGTGAGCCTCCTGCCACCCCTCCTAGGAGATGGGTGCAGACAGGCAATGCACAGAGGGGAGCGAGACACAGAGGATGGAGGGCCCTCCAGGCTCCCAGAGGAGAACCTAGGAGACTCGGGGTGAGGAGCGGTGGGACTACACCTGTAGCAACCACAAGTGTCAGATAAGGGCACTCCACACTTCTGACCCTCCCTTCCTTGAAGAGAGGTGCTCTCGTGGGTGTAAGAACCCCTCCAGCCCTCTTCCTAGGCAAGGATGTACATACGTGTGCACGCAGGGAAACCCAAAGGCCTGAGGACAACATTTTAACATCAACAGCACCACCTGTATACACTGTTCTGCAGCTTTGGGTCTCTTGATGGTAAGTTTTTAGATCCAATCAGTGCACAGCTGTGTGCCCATGTTTTCCGACTGCTGCACGGTGCCCACAGCAAGCCCCTGCTCCAGCCCTCCCACCGTGCCCTCCAAATGGGCACTGACGGGCTTCCCCAGCAGGAACGACTCATCAGATGGCCCCAAATGCTCAAGGGTGAGGGCCTCAGGTGTTGGTGAGGTTCTGTGGGCCTGGCCACGTGACCTAACTTCCCTGTCCCACCTATAAAGACGAGGGGCCCCAGGTGTCTGCCTCACAGGGGTGCATGTGGATGAAATGAGCCATGCCTGGGGTATGCTCCTCCCCCGCCCCCCCCATCATACTGGTGTGCAGGAGGACAGGGAAACAGGAGTGGGCACAGCCACTTCAGGAGGCTCGGGATGAAACTGAAATGCTCATCTCCTTTGTATTTTTGAATCATGAGATGTATTGTCCATTCTGAAGAAGTAAATGGAAAAGAATAAGGGGTGGCACTTGTATTTCCAGATGGCAAGATATGCTTACAAGGCCAGAGTAATTAAAACAGGGTGGACAGAACAGTACCAAATGGCTAAGAAACCAAAGAGGGGCGCCTGGGTGGCTCAGTGGGTTAAGTGTCTGCCTTCAGCTCAGGTCATGATCCCGGGGTCCTGGGATTAAACCTTGCATTGGGCTCCATGCTTAGCAGGGAGTCAGCTTCTCCCTCTCCCTCTGCTCCTCCCCCTGCTCATGCTCTCTCATGCTCTTTCTCAAAAAAATAAATAAAAAGAAAGAAAGAAAGAAACCAGAGTGAAGGGGCGCCTGGGTGGCTCAGTTGGTTGGGCAACTGCCTTCGGCTCAGGTCATGATCCTGGAGTCCCGGGATCGAGTCCCGTGTCGGGCTCCCTGCTCAGCAGGGAGTCTGCTTCTCCCTCTGACTCTCCCCCCCCCATGCTCTCTCTCTCTCATTCTCTCTCTCAAATAAATAAATTAAAAAAATATATTAAAAAGAAAAGAAAAGAAAAGAAACCAGAGTGAAGAATGGAGGAGCAGGCCCGCACAGGGACTGAGGACATGACCAAGCTACTCTACCTTTAATGAGCCAGTTCGGCGCATAGGGCTGACGTAAAGGGCTCATCCCTGCCTCTCCCCCTTCATCCTGAGCCCGCAGCTGGACTTCCCCTTCCCAGCCCCGTGGTGACCAGGCCATGGCAGCAGTGAAGACCGTGACATCCAGGCAGGACCACAACCACCCCCAATGCCATCCTCCACCCATCCCCTCCTAGGAGGGCCGTGCACTGAAGCAGAACAAACTGGGGTCCTGAGTACCTTTCTTGATTTTCTTTTCTTTTTTCTAATTAATTTATTTATTCATTTTAATTTATTTTAAGTACTCTCTACACCCAACATGGGGCTCAAACTCACCAAAAAATCCAAACAGATTAAACAAAAACAAAACTATAAAAGCAGAATAGCTCATAAACATATATAAACTCTTGGGTTAGGGAAGACCTTTAGGAGACAAAATTATAAAACATACCCCGCCCAACCATTAGTAAAACTGAGGGCACCAAAAATTAGAGCTTCTGTACAACAAAGATAATTAAAAGTCACATGATAGGTAACACACTAAAACACAAGGGATTCATATCCAGAATTATCCTTTTTTAATTCCTAAAAATCAGCAAAATACTACCTTACTTGACTGAAACAAGTAAAACAAACAATGTAACAGAAAACAGAACACTGTGCAAAGAATGTGAGCAAGCTACTCAGAAGCGAGCACATGGGCAAAGGCTGTCCTCCAGCCACTCAACCTCATTACTAGTCCCAGAAATACAAATTAAAAGTGAGATGCCATTCTTCGTCCATCAGGCTGACAAACATTTCTGAACTGTTTGTAGCTGATGTAGTAACAAGGTGAAATGGATACAGACACTTCCAGAAATAATTTGGCAGTATTTCTTCATTCTACATGTTCATAATCCATAGATTTATGCTACATAAAATTGTATTATTTATTTTAAAAATGTGCAACAAAACGTGTGTGTACATATGTTGTGTGTGTCTGTGTGTGTGTGTGTGTATAAGAAAGACTGAACAAAAAAGTCTTAAAAGTTACACACGAAGCTGATGGCAGAGGTTGCTGGAGAGAGAGGTTTGGAAACTGCTCGAGGACCACTTGAAGATTTCTCTGTAAGGTTTGAATTTTCACAATGATAATATATTCACATATTACTTGTGTAGTAAAAAATGAACTTCTAAAAAGCCTAGTCAATATACACATTTATCACTTCTGACATCTGCCTCTCAGCAACTACATCAAGATTCCCACAAGCCTCTGGAGGGCGTCCGGAAACCACCGTGCCCCACCCCCTACCTTCTGAGCAGCTCCTGGGGTGACAGGTCTGCAGGCCCCTCGTCATCGCTCTGGCTGTCGCTGCTGTCCGCATTCTCAGAACTACTACTCTTCTCCGATTTTTTATTCTTTTGCTTGCCTTTGTGTTTGTGCTTCCGGTGCTTCCTTTTCTGAAAAAGAATAGTGAGGCGAGGCGGGGTGTGAGGGGGGCCAATGGGCGTTTCCCTTCCCGATTCCTATGATGACAGGCTAAGGAAGCATTTGG